GGGGGCCATCCAAGTTTTCTTCTCTGAGCATGCTGTGGGCCAGAGCTTGGTTGACCTGGCAACAGCCAGGGTCGCAAGTGGTGAAAAGGAGCAGATTGCGCAGGCTGCGGTCGGGGAGCTTGGAGATGAATTGCCCAAGTTGCAGGCCTTATCGCATGCATTTTGTGTACAGGGGATCAAGCTCATCAAGGATGACCTGCTTCCAGTGCAAAAGCTGCTGGATACCTGTGCAAAGTCCGTGAGCGCTTTGAAAGGCAGCAAGGGTAAAGACAAAGATCATGGCAGAGCCTATGACCGCCTCATGGAGCTCTTGGCTGGTCACAAGGCAACTTTCACTTCAGAGGTCAAGAGACTGCTTGAAGGAGAGCTGAGGGGAAATTTGGCACAGCGCTTGCACCTTGATCATTCGGTCTCTTTTGTTACGCTGTTAGGATTTTCTTCTGTTTTCTTTTTTTGCTACACTATGACTATGACTATGAGGCTATGAGTCTATGCTCAAAGCAGCATACTACAATAATAATCTTGGTAATATATATATTACATAGATTTACATAATAATGCTGGTTGATCAGCGCCTCTTTTTTGTCGTTTTGTTCTATGGACGCCTGACCCAAGTGACCAGTCTCCATTTAGCGAAGCCCCGGAACCCAAACGCCTAGGCCTAGATAGATGGATCTATTGTTGAAGTTATATACCTTTTTGAGATGTCTGAGAAAACACGAGGCAGTTCCTGTGCAACGCCTTGAGCAATGATTGCATGGTGGGGTCCGAAGAAGCAGGTCAGACGCTCATTGAGTTGGACGAGGTTTGGTCTGGCCTCAAGCATACCTGCCTGGTTGAGCACACGTTCTGGGAGTCTGGACCGGCCACAGGCCAGGTTGAGGCTGTGTTGCGTGAATACAAAGACTTGTCGGCTACCCTGTGTGACATGGCTAATTTTGTCTTCCTCCAAAACGACAAGTTCAAAGAGAAACAAAAGCTTGACGTCGCCGCTACAACACTCAAGCGCTGGGTGGACATCGTTCCAAACAAACTCAAGAAGTGGGTCGATACTGGCTTGGCGCAACTTGTGGAGGACCGCATGCTGTCCGTCTGCCGCTCAAAGCAGCAAGCTTTGTTTTCCGCTGGGTTGACAGCGGTGGCTGAAGTAACAAAGCAGTGCGTCGCTGGGTCGCCACCTTCCTTCAACCAGGGTGCCCAGCAACAATTGCTCATGAAGATTCCCAAGAGTCACAGCCTGAGGCCCTTGGTGACCTCTTTCTTGGAGGCGAGGCCTATCAAAAGCGCTCAACGTATACCATCATGATTCATGATTTTTTGGGTTTTTATTTTTGTATGGTCCGTTCTGTTTGTTTCGTGCCTGCTAGGTGCTCACTTTGCAAAGCCAATCAGGGGACCAGCTGAAGCTGGCCACTGCCTTGGACATGACCGGCAAGCATTACCAGGAAGCGCTTTCCACTGCAGAGTGGCAGGAGGACCTGCGCAAAACAGGCCTGAAAGAGGCCAGTGCCTGGCTCAAGGCTCTTCGCCAGAAGGTTGCCTGCGAAGCTCTTGACGAGATGGAGCGCACACACAAGAAACGATGTCTCTCCATGGAAAAAATCAAAGTGGCCAAGCTGCCCAGTTTGACGGATGAGGAGAACTATCGCAAAGTTGGGCTACGATGTGTGGGGCAATTGGCTGACGTCACGGCCCTGCTAGAAAAGGATTGCAAGGCTCTCAAGACTCTCCGCTCTGCCTTGGTGAGGCTGAAGGCTGCGCAGTTTGGCGAGGAAAACACAACCCCTCTTCTTGCAGAGCTCGAACTTGCCCAAAAGAAAGCTGGGCATGATGTGTTTGCGCCTGGTCCAGGTGAGATTGAGTGCGAGGAGCTGGTGGTACAAACAAGTTTTCATGTAGCTGCTGTCGCGGCCTTGTGCCTGGTTCGAAACCCAAAGCTTGCGCCTCCCAATCCCGATGGTAAATTGCTCAAACAAGTTGCCGATATCTCAGTCACATTGAGGGGCAAATGGGAGCTGCTACCGGAGGGCGAGCTGAAGCTTCAAGGGGGGGCGTTTGCTCAGTGAATGCGAAGAGGTTTCGAAGTCCAAGGGCCAGAGAGAGCGACCGAAAATGGATGGGAATGTGAAAAGCACACCCTCCAGCGCAACCATGCTGGGGGGCAGACGCCGTCGTCGCAAAAGGAAAAAAAGATGCCAACGCTTGCAAAGATGGTGAGAGCTGCAAACAAAAGGAAAGGGGGCCTAAGGCGCCAGGGGAGGAGGAAGAGCCTGAAAAGGAAGGTGAGCGCAAAGACGACCAGCACGAGGTCAAGAAGAGCAAAGGCAAGGACAAGAAAGAGAAGAAAAGAGACGACGATGACAAAGAAGACAAGAAAGACAAGAAGGAGAAGAAACGCAAGAAGGAGGACAAAGACAAAGGTGAGGGCAAGAAAACAAACAAAGACAAGAAGAGTGACAAACACGACAAGAAGGAGAAGAAGGAAAAGAAGGAGCGGCGCCAGCAGGCGGAAGACAAGGTTGAAAAGGCCAAGAGCAGAAAGCGAAAGGTTGAAGAAGAAGAAGAAGAAGAAGAACGCCCTGTGCCAGAGCCCAAGGCCACCCCGAGGCCGAAAGGTAAATGCAAGAGCGCGCCAAAGCCAAAGGCAAAGCCAAAGGCCGCCCCAGACACCGCTGCCAGAGGCAGGGGACGTGGGCGCGGTAGGGGACGTGGCCAGGCCAACGGTGTGGATGTTGAGTGACATCCCTCACGCCGGCTCATGCGTCTTTGATCTTTGCTTGGCCTGCCTGATTTTCCGGCCTCTGGCCATGGTGGACAAAAGTTGTTGCTGTGGGCCGCTGGCCGCTTTTGTAGTGCTGTTTTCTGCGCTGGACGCATGCCCCAAATCGAAAACAAAGCTGCTGCGCAGACGCCGACTTTTGAGGAGTAGTGTGTTTTCAACAGTTTTTCGGTTCGCTGCCCCTCCTTCTCTTTCTCTCTCTCTCTCACACGCGCACACCCCTATTTACACAACGCTCGCTCAGAGATACTTTCAAGCACTGGTAGGCTGCAGCCCAGTGGC